CTCACTGTAGACATGCACACTTGTTCCTTATTGTTGAAATTGTCAAAACTTAAAGACAAAGAGAAACAAAACTACAAGTTTTAAAGAAATCTGACACTTTGTGCATTTTGTAGAAAGCTGCATAAACTGGATCAGAATTTATACAATCACTTCCAGGGTACAGAGACCAGCATCTGACTGTTTGGAGCTTCATCACATTATATTTTGTTTTTGTCCCACTCTGTGTTTAATTTCTTCAATATTCACCTGCTGAATTTTGCATTTTGCTATAGATTTAGCTTTCCTAAATTTGGCTGTTTGAACACACAACAGTATGAGCATATTTTCAAGACAAGCCCTATCACGTGCATCAACATTAGAATATTTGGCTGAGTGTTGCAGATGAAATGGAGAGGGTGCATTGTGTGTGCGGGGTAAGGAAGGTGATGTGAGCTGTGGCTGCAGAAACAGCCTGACAGTGCAGCTTAGAGCGAGCCCTGGGGTGCCTGGCAGCTCCTCAATAGAAGTGTCAGACTGGCTTATGAGGAGGTTTTACCTCCACTCTAACTCGGTCAATGTCCACACTCCATCGAGGAAGCGCAAAAAGCACAGATGTACTTAAGTCTGCCAAGTATCACAGTGACAATGACATTTTTCTCTGCTGCTCACACAGAGCTGTTCTATTCTGATGAGACACTTTTTCATCCATTCCATTTATCCATAAATCATGCAACAATGAAAACTTATCAAGATTAAGCTAAACTATAAATGTGTAACCACTACTTAACCGAATAAACAATCACTTCAGTATAGTAAAGTTACTTATGCTCTAGGGTGACACAGCAGGATGACTGCAAATAAGTTTTAACAAGTTTAGTTTACTTTCTCCCCCCACCCACAAAAAACATAAATCCAGCAATTACCAACCAAAAAATAAATAAAAAAAATAAAATTGTCCACCCTTATAGAAATAACGTTAATGTTCAAACATCATAGTTTTGTAACCTTTTAGTTTTAAAACTCACTTCAACAATTGTTTATTTTTTCCCCCCAAGAAAATTACATATAGTCCTTCAGTATAACAGTTCAGTCAGTCAGCTCATAAGCTCATTATGCGCACATAAGTTGTCAGTTTTGAAAATCTTCTTGAACGAATAGTTTGTGGAATGAAAAAAAAATAAAGGATTGAGGGCCCCCTTTATTCAAATAAGCTTATCTGTTGTCTAAGCAATGTGTAGGTGAGTTTGCTCTAGGGTTGAAATTGTGAAAGGCACTGTTTGGATTAATCACTGCTCTCAACCAGGAGTGTCGGCCAGAACACCACTTAGGCCAGGATTCATCTCAGGACCAGATTTTAGGATGATGTGAAGCAGATGGAATAATGAAGACACGAGGCAGGATCCCTTTAACTGTTCTATATTCCAAACTGTATTACAGATCTTGATCCAACTGAACATGGATGGGCATAACGGTGAATTTGTGTGAATGCGTGTGTGGTAGAGCTACTCCAGCTGGGTTTTGTTCCAGTTCAACAAAAAGACTGAGCTACCTACTTACACAGGTAGCCATTCTATGTAAGTAAACAGCTGAAATAAAATAACACTCACTGGAGAAATCCCAGAACAGGATGCACAT